TCTCTCTCTCTCTCTCTCTCTCTCACACACACACACACACACACACACACACACACACACACACACTCCTCTGGATTCACTGGGCCGTTTATAAATTCCCCCTCCTATGCAAACACTCCTTCACCTTCAGCCTCTTTCTCCCCTCTTTCTGGATTTGCTCTGAAGTTTTTAAAATTACCTCTTCTGTATAGAGACCGGGTTATCAGCCACGTGAGACATACGCTGTGTTTCTATGGCACAGTAATCTCCTCCCCAAACAACACGCAATGCCAATTTAAAAGCCCCGAGGCGAAGCAGCAGTCTGGGGGGGAGGGGGAGGGCTGAGCTTGGACAGCATCAGAGGCAGCTGCTAGCTCCGAGAGAGAGAGAAAGAGAGAGGGAGGAGGAAGTGGCTGCTTAAAGCAACAGAAGAAGAAAAAAATCCGTGAGGGAAGCCCATGGTCTCCACATGGAGTAAAGTCTTCTCCTCCCTCAGCCATTGGCAACAGCTCCCAAGGATAAGTGGGTGGGAATGCACTCGGCTCAAAGAATATATGCTCCCAGTTGCTAGGAGATCCTCAAGGTGGCTGAAGGCTTTTTCGTAACTTAAAAAAAATCAGGACTTTTTTTAAAAAAACCGTGACGCGGGACAAATTGTTCAAAAGAGGGACTGTCCCGCTGAAATTGGGACATCTGGTCACCTTAGTTTAGACACAAACTAACACATACATCACCAAATCAGTATATTCTAAAAACCTGGATTTATAACTGACTGTCTCCACACAGTATACCAGTTTAAACCAATAGAAAATCAAAATTAAAATTGCCAGTTCCTAGTGTATAAGTTAGTACATTTTCAATAGTAATAATACATAAGCTGCATTTGTGGAGCACTAATAGTTTAAAGTCTTACATCTGGTAATTTTTTTGTCTACAGACATCAGGGATCCTATATAAAATTAATTATACTTGCATTGTGAGTCAACAAAGTTATTCCTTCATAGTTAATTTAATTAGATTTGTATGCTGTTTGACCTCCAAAAACTCTAGGTAGCTGCTAACTACTTCCATTCCATAGTATATGGCTTTATTTTTTAAAAACTTATTTAGGAAAGAATTATACTTGCTTGACAACCATATCTGTTACACTTTATTTCTTGTAGTTCTCTAAAATGTATATGGGCATATTATGCCTTTTGCTGTAATGGGATTACAATGCATTGATGCTAATTTTAATCAGAGTTATTTTTCTCCATAAAATATTAATTTTAGCACTACATATTTTTGAAGTTAGTTTGCTTAGCCTAAGTATTTTAATTTTAAAGCTGGCCCAATGAAAAGTTTTTGTAGCCAGCTGAACAATGATTCATTAAATCTTAAATAATTCAACCAATCAAAAGTAAGTTATAATAAATTAAAGAAGTATGGTTCGAAATGATAGTATTCAGAAAGCTACAGCTAACAAATAGAGCCAAACAGGCCTTTAAATCAAGCTTTCTGCTCAACAAAAGGATATTAACTAAAGCATACCTGTAAGTTGAGGATATTAATGTAGAAAATAAATGTTAATCTTACCCTATAGATGACATAATTTGAAGAAGCATAGATTCAGAGAGTTGGAAGGAAGCTGAGAAGTCATCTAGTTATCATACTGTATCATATCCCCCTTCAATTTTCTGTTTCCTCAGCTAAATATTCCCAACAATTCCTATTTCCTAATAACAACCCTTTTCTGAATCTGTTCAAATTGGTCTAAATCTTGTGAATTCATCTGGATACAAGATGTGTGTCAAAGACAGAAAAAAGGTTTTGGTGGGAAGATGCCTAGGTTTGCAAACTGTTGTCACAATTGTCTATACTAACATACATTTTGAGGATTGGAGTAGGCTTTTTGTTTTTTCATAAAGCAAGTTATTGGACAAAAATGACCAACCATATAATTAGCAAATTCCTACAAAGAGAGGGAAACCTGTAGTTTGTACATAAAGATAGTAAATAATGGAAGTTCCTCACCACTCTTGCTATATTGCCTTTTGTATTTTTAGAATATGTTTTTTTTAAAAAAATAATAGAGTTACAAGAATGGCATACAAATCCTTTTGAGTGTTAATATATGCAGATGGTTATCATGAAGGAATGTAGACCTTTTCTTGGAAATGGGAAAGGAATGAGCAAACAGTTAAGAGGGATCTTGGAGAAAAGATTGTTCAGTCCCGAGAAAGAGGGAAAAGTGAGGGGAAAAAACCCTCAAAATGATTATTCCTTCATTATTTTTTTTAAAGATTCTACTTGTCTACCTTATAACAATAAATAGCATTAACAGAATCCCTGCTGTGCCCATTGATTAAACTGGCCTATCTCACAGGGCTGACAGTTATACGACTGCCCAGCTTCTGTCAGCCCTTTGAGGTAAAACCAACAGTACAAGCTCCCTACATATTTTAAGATTATATAAACAGATCTTGCAAGACTAAAAACACATCTCTCCTACCTTGCCTTTAAAATCTGGGAATGGTTCCTGCTGAGACATTTGCCACACCCCCATTTAGAATAGAATAACAGAGTTGGAAGGGATCTTGGAGGTCTTTTAGTCTGACCCCTGCTTAGCCAGGAAACCCTACACCACTTCAGACAAATTGTTATCTAATTTCTTCTTAAAAACTTCTAGTGTTGGAGCATTCACAATTTCTGGAGGCAAGTTGTTCCACTAATTAATTGTTGTAACTGTCAGGAAATTTATCCTCTGTTCTAAGTTCCTTCCCTCCTTGCTTAGTTTCCACCCATTGCTTCTTGTTCTACCCTCAGGTACTTTGGATAATAGTTTGACTCCCTCTTCTTTGGCAACCCCTGAGATATTGTAACACTGTTATCATGTCACCCCTAGTCTTTATTTTCATTAAACTAGACATACCCAGTTCCGCAACCATTCTTTATATATTTTAGCCTCCAGTCCTATAATCATCTTTGTTGCTCTTTTCTGCACTCTTTCTAGAGTCTCCACATCTTTTCTACATTGTGGTGACCAAAATTTGATGCAGTATTCCAAGTGTGGCCTTACCAAGGCACTATAAAGTGGTATTAACACTTCGAGCGATCTTGATTTTATCTTGATTTCCTACTGCAGACTTAGTTGCCACTTTTATGACCATTGCTTAATCTTTGGTTCTTGTTTTCCAAGGTCATTCCCATCTACATTACAGCTTTTATTACTTTAATATTAATGATATACAAATTTTCTATGAATGTAATGACAGACATAGTTTTCTATATACCATTTGAAAGAAAAGATCTAGCCACCATAGCTAAACATTACTTTAAAAAAAAACTTTTAAACAGGCAATGAAATTGTGAACATTATATCCAGTAATTTAAATAAATTCATAAATAGAAATGAGAAATGTTGTTTTTAACTGTTATCAGTTGTGACGAAGTAACATAAGTACCTTTTCAAGACCTTCCTCCTTAAGACTAATGACATCTAAGTCAAAATCTGTCCTTAAACCATTGGTTTTGTTGAAAGTTATCCTGCCAGTGAGACCTTCCCAGTGAGCCTAGGAAAAATAAGGGGAAAATTATATGTAAGCAGCAAAAAAGAGATAAAGAGAAATGAATAAATTAATGACTTAAAATGGAAATATTAATTATTCATTAAATTTAATTCATTCCCTCATAGCCAATATAAAAAAATCATATCCACTTTTTGGATTTCTGGCATTCTTCTGATAATTAAACCAACTTTTCTTTAATCTCTGTATACAAAGCTTTCCATTCCTTTTCTATATACCACTTGCTGACTAGGATGATCTTTGAAACATTTTCATTATTTTCTTATTTAGGATACACACATTTTTGTTGTCTGTTGCTGTCTTTCAGTATATCTCTAGTTATGAGTTTTATAATAACACATTTTATCACTTTCTGTAACACAGTCCTTATTGCATTCAAAGCTATTCTCACAAAATATAGAATTAATCTCTAATATTCATTTTCAGCTATGGAAAATTAAAAATATGAGTTTTGCCCTAGGTGGAATCCAGCACTGTCCTGGTAGCTTATTGCTAGTTCAGTTGGATATTATTTTATTCCCTTAAAAGTGTTCATAAGAAAAAAGTAATTGCCGCTTGCCATTTCACTCCAGAAATAACTTTTTCTAACAAAAGCATCCAATTGGATTCTAGCTGCCATTGTTCCAAGAAAAAAGGAAGGGTGCAACATGCAGAAATTCTCCCGCAGTCATTCCATGGGAAATCACCAAAATTAAGTAAAAACTGCATCTTAGCAATGGATTGGAAGTGGACAAAAGGGAGTCATTATATATATATATATATATATATATATATATATA